ACGTTTCGCGTACGGCGGCCATGGTATGAGCAACTCCGCGGTGATAATGACCGTGAATTTCCGAGATGATTAGACGTGCCAACATAGTTCTGGGTGCAATGTAGATTGGTGTTTTTGCCGTTACTGGTACATCTGCTTGTTGTAGACGTCCGTAACAGCGCAGGATTCCTTTTTCGTCTTGTCGGATATTCAGTTCCTTCTGCGACTTGATCTGATACTCGTTCACATAGTTCTTCTGATGGTCTCGAATCAAGCACATTCGACTTTCGTGCATCTCGATCCCGGTGATGGTTTGTGACGGTGAAATTTCCTTGAGAGCCGGTATGTGTTGTTGTATTGCCAATCTTCTTTCGTGGGAAAATGACTCAGGGATCTGTTTATGAATCGAAGTGCATACACTAGCACTCTCTGAGCTTTCTCAAGGGTGCTGTATCTGCTCAAGTCGACCACTTCGTCCTTAGATACCTCTTCTGACGAGTTTAGAGTTACTGCCTCCACTGATATCATTGTCGATTGTTCGAAATCAGCAACCGTACTCAGCTTTGAATGATCCGGTTTGTTGGTGAATTCAGGTCCTGTCCACCAGATATGGTTCTGTAAAGCTTCTGCTGATAGTCCTCTTGTTCCGCAATCGGCTGGATTTTCTGCCGTTGAGACGTGTCCGAAGAGACACGTGGTGCTTTGACTGCGGAGATCATTGCTGATTCGTCTAATCTCTGATAATCGGTTTGTGACTAAAATGCCTGCGCTTTGTCGCGATGGAGGGGTTCTTATCCACCCTAACACGATATCCGAGTCTGTGTATAGAATCACTTCCTTGATTTTGCAGGATGGTTCCAACATTTCACAAATAAAGAGAGACATTCTTACGCCCAGCGTCAGTGCATTCATCTCCAACTTGGGAATCGTCATCGAGGTTTTGATGGAGGGCAGTTTGGATTTTGCCATAATGATGTTGGATTCTTCTTGCGAGGTGAGATACGCACATGCTGCGATTGCGTATTGGCTAGCGTCGGTGAAAACGACGAGTCTGTAGCCATCGGATTTGCTGAGAACTCGTCTATTCACTTCCTTGTAAAATGTTGCAATTTCTGATGTTATTTGATACCACTGATCACGCAGTTGCGCTGGAAGCGGTGTGTCCCAATCTGATCCTTCCTTCCATAGTGACTGCATGAATATCTTTGCCGGTAGTAGTAGAGGCACCAGAAATCCCATTGGATCATACACAGAAGCAAGTTGTTGTGTGACTGTTCGCTTGGTATCTTTTCCCTTCAAGGTTGTCATCGAGCCTTTGATAATGAACTTGTCCGTTTCCGAATTCCATGCGATGCCTAGGACCTTGGGGCAGGTGGATTTCATCTTGTCGGCCTCATCAATGGCGTTGGAGAAGGTTTTGTCATTGGAGCAGAATTCCCTCAAGTTCATTTTGAGATCTTGGAAGAGCTTCTTTGTGTGTGCATACTTCAGAAGTGCTTCGTTCGAAGATTGTGCACCAAAGAATAAGTTGTCTACGTACAAATTCCTTCTTATTTCTGGGGCCATGTCGTCATCACTTGCTGTGGTTTCTAGGTGGTGATTTATCGTAGCGCTCAAGAGGAAGGGGGAAGCATTGAGTCCGAAGGTAACTCTGGTGAACCTGTAGATCACTATGTTGTCCGGCGTGGGTGGGAGTGAGATATTCCTGACCCAGATGCACCGTGTGGCGTCACGATCCTTTTCTTGCAGTCGTACTTGTAGGAATGCCTTCTCAATATCCGACATCACTGCGATATTCGGAATTCGAAATCGAAGCAAGATTCCGACAAGATCAGGCAAAATAAGAGGACTTTGATGGAGCACATCGTTGAGGCAGGGACAATCCTTATAATGGGCTGATGCGTCAAAGACGATCCTCATCCTTGTCGTCTCCTTAGAAGGGGTGACCACTGCCTGGTGCGGTAAGTAATGGATCACTTCTCCATTGTCAGCGTCCTCCGGTGCTACTTCTTCGATTATTCCCTTGTCACGTTGATCGCTGAAGACGTTATCGTATGCCTGCAACATTTCCTTATCGCCCTGGTACATTTCTAGAGTTCGAACGAGGCGTTTCATTGCTAGTGCCTTGTTGTCTGGGAGTTCTGGGTGATTCTCCTTCCATGGTAGGCGTACGTAATAGCCATCTTCTCTCTTTTCGATAGACTTCTTGAAGTTTTCCAGCACTTTTTCGTTTATTTGTTGCAGTTCCGTTTGCTGTGGACCAGTAAATTCTTCTGTGCCAGCAGATTCCAAAGACCAGTAGCGATCCCATGTCTCCTTCTCGATTTCATATCCTTGCAGAGTGCACGATACTGACCGTTTCGTGGGGATGTCTCCTTGTCGTCCGCTGATGATGTACCCTAATTTCGTTGGTATCAGCTGCAGTCCAGATGGTAGACTCAGTTTGTTGCTTGTTTCCATGAAGTTCCAGAGATGGTCGCAACCCAGTAAAATTTGCGGCTGCAACTCTCCACCTTCTATCGGCAATGACAAGTCGAAATTTCCTCTCTTGATAAACTGCAAATCTTCGTGATCGAGGCACGCTCGTTGTACGGTGCTTGTAATATAGTCGTTCTTATACAGCTGCAGCTCATGCTGTGTACCCTCCTTGTCCACCATCTTCAAAAGCGTTAACGCACAGTTTTTCGTTTTCGGTGATGATGACCCGAATGTGCTGAGCTCGAGAGAAGTTGTACCTAGCGTTGGCAAGTTGAGCTCGTTCGCGAGCTGCTCTCCAATGAATGAGAGTTCCGAGCCTGTGTCCAATAAGACGATTGTTTCTCTTTTGTTTCCATCGGCGTCAAGCACTTGTACTGCTCCCGTAAGTAGAACTACCCTACTTTGTTTCCAATCGTTCTTCTTCTTTAGCTGTAGTACGGTTGGAGAGTCGGCACTTTCCGTTACTCCTTGTTTTGTGAGATGAGTGTCTTGTCCGAGTGTCTCCGTTACCGCATGTTGTTTCGAAGAACTGTAGGATTTTGCAGCTGTCGTCGGCTGGTTTTTTGGTGTTCTCGCTCCCTCCGGCTTCTTCTGTTGACTGATAGGTGGTCTGCTTTGTGTCATTTCACTTGGCCTTTTTTCTGAGCATGTCGCAGTGTGATGTTTTTTGTTGCAGTTTCGGCAGTTGCCGCTAAAGCATGCCGCTACTCTGTGATTGTTTGACCCACAGTTTAGACATCGGTTGGACTCCAGCAAAAAATTCCTCCTTTGCGTTGCTGTGGGAATTTGTGGGCAGGTTGTCCACCTGTGTCCTTTGCTTCCACAGCACTCGCACACGTTGCCTCTTCTCACGTTTGTCGGTGCCGGAGTTTTGATCTGCTGCGATTCTGCCGAGAGTCTGTCGTTTAGTTGTTCCTCTCGTGAAATGGCTTCATCAATGGCGTCCAACCATTGGTTTAGTGTCCATTCTTGTTTATTTCCCTCTTCGCTCCTCAACTGTTTGCCCATTGCTTCTCTTCGTATGCGTACATGGAATTTTTCCAGAAAAGTGTCGATTGTTAGTTCGTTGTCCAAGTGCTGCTCGTGTTCTTCCAACTGATTGGCTATTGCTGCTAGCTTATCCCACAATTGTCTTTGCTCCAATGTGCTTGGTCCTCTTGCTGAACAGCTCTTCAGATTCCTGTTCAGCTGTCGTACTATGCCACTTTTGTCTCCGTATCGTTTGGCAAGGTGCTGAATGGCTTTCTCGTAGTTATTTGCCGAAACGAAGAACCGAGATATTGATTGCTTCGCCTCTCCACTCAGAGAAGAAAGCAAGTAGTTGAATTTTTGGAGCTCTGTCAACTCCTGGTCGTGCACATTGGCTTTGAACAAAGCCCAGAAATTGTCCCATTCCCATTTCTTCCCCGTGAATGTAGGGATGGGTATCACAGGTAGCTTGCTGACTGCCACAGAACTTGCCAAATCGTTTCCCGTTCTGTGCGTTTCCGTGATGTCAGTCTGCCACTTTCTCAGTTGGGACCGGTGCGCATGCAGCTTCATTATTGTTCCTTGTGCGCTCTCCACGTACTTGTCTAGTTGATCTTCTTCTTCGTCGGTGGCGTCTTGTAGACCGTCGAAGGCTTTCGTTAACTTGGTTACTGAAGCTTCCAGAAGATCTATGTACTCCTCGCATGTGGTGATGTCCATCGTGATCTCCTTGGCTCGTTCGCGTTGCGCTGCTACGCCTCCTTGTTCTATCCTTTGAAGGAGCTGAGCCGACTCTTGTAGCCAGTTCAGTGCCACATCATTCCTTTTTGTCACTAATCCTTTGTATGCTCTTATTGTTGTCGTCATGATGTAAGTGCTGGTAGATAAGCTGTGCAACTGTGAGAGTAAATCTCTATTGTTCAATCGTAGATGTAGTGCAAGCAAAGCAAAGGAAGCTGTCTCTGTCGCAATAATGTGTACCTTCTTAGTTCGGCCGATGCACCAGTTGTATTAGTTAGTGGTTGGGATATAGTCAGAACTATAAGGCTTCGAATACCACTTGTGAACCACAACCACAAAGATTATCTGCCACGCGGGTCTTGAGCGTTGGACAACACGAGCACACCTCAAACTTGGGTAATTAAACTTTATCAAAGAAACAAATAACAATAACAAACACGGATAGAACAAATAACAAAATATACTATCAAATGATGAACTACAAATAGGAATGCTATGATTGGAAGAAGGCAAAATATGTGAGTGGATAATGTTAAAGCAAATGAGCAAAAGTAGTACATGTAACTAACTCTGAGTGTGCACTGTCAGCTACTTATATGCGTACGATCACATCCTTAAACCACAGCTGCGCGCGACATCCTACTGTTAGCTAAAAAACCATGAGCAATTCACATCTGATGCCAACATCTGCAAATTCCTCCAGTAGTAAAAAACGATGCAAATCATCGATGCTTTGCAACTGGCAAAGTATGACTAAACTACAAGGATGTGATAAGTTTCTAAATGAGGGAGAAAAGAACAATACGAGCTGCGAAGTTCGTATATGAACCGCAATGGCAAGAGAAACCTGCCAATCACCAGTGACTATGTAGATTTTTTCGGAGGGGGGGGGGGCGATATGAGCCGTGCCCTTCAGAACTGAAAAAATGGAGGCATGGCATTAGTCAGGGAGCGGGAACCTGCCACTGGTCTTCAAAGAAATCCAGCTGCCCAGCTTTGTCTGGGCACTTTCCTTAAAAAGCATTGATGTAAAAGTATTGAGGCTTCTCAAGCCGTATAACGTTCCGCTGATCGAAGAAGAAACGGAGGTTGGACACCACATCGGTGCCGTTGTAGATGTGACAGAACGAGATGGAGTGACCGAGTTTGGGGACCGTCTCAAAGTGTTCAAGGCAGCTCGAGTCAACAAGTAGGTTGATAGCCGAGTGCGTGCCGTGCCCTACTTTCTGCCATGATTTTTAGTGGAGGCGTAGTCGAATGGGATCGACAGGGTGCTGGTGTAGACGTGGGCACTAGAGTATCCGCTGCAGATGATACTGTAAAGGTTAGAGCCACAGCTTTTGGAATCAATGTGGGTCCAACAGCGAGTCGAACGATAGTTGGACCTGGACCTGCGACACTTGGCAGAGCGAAAGGAGCCGGTGAGTTTTTCATTTGCTGAAGAACAACTCTCACTAGTACCAAAACTTTGATATCCAACTCTCGAATGATATATGTCTATTTCGCATAATTCAGCTTTGAAGACGTACACACCATTTCCATCGTTCTATCGAGGATACTATACCCAAGGCGATTGGTACAGAAATCAATTCTACAAGCAAGGTAGGTCCTGGAACGGAAGATACTTCTCTGGACATCCGCTTGTGAACTATACTTGAATTACACGAAACTTATTCTTTTCAATTATCTGGAAGCTTTTTTCCCCCTGATTTCTTCAAATTGAAGTTTCATAGATGCAATCACCGAATTTGCAGGAAATCAAAGTGTTATGTCTTGGTTCGCAAAAATCGTGACCTTTCGTTTTCAGGAGATGAGTACAAGACTCCAGTGCAACGAGCATGTCCATGGTGCTTTGCAGTCGACAGCACTTATCCTGTGCAGCGATTATTCCCCTGAAATATTTATTCATGCTTTAATTTATGTTTGTTAACTTAACGCAGTAACACAGTTGTTGCTATGAAAAGCATATGATCAATTTTCTTGATTTCGTATTTGGCAGCGTTTCTCGATGTACGCGGACAAGCATGCAAAGACCATCCCAATTGTGAATTAGGAAGCTGATGATATTTCTTCCTCAACAGAGGTAACTGTTCGTGATGAACTTGGTCAGTGACATTAAGGATGGAATGCTGTAAATCTGTGGTTAATTACTTTTTCATTTACAATATCCTTATTCTTGTGTGCAGCAAATGAGTCATATTCAATATTTGTTCTTTCATACTTATTATTCTTACACTCGAAATGAGCGGGATTCAAATACTCAAGCTTTGAGTTTGAGCTCTGACTTATTGCGATAAGTGAAAAAACATAACAGAAAAAATATTGAATTGCAGTGATCATGGGCACCATGTGAAATAGCGTATCGAAGGGCACTGCTTTCAGTGCTTCTGATGTCTTGTACATATCTGGATTATTACGTGGTCATTGTTGTGGCAATTACTGAGCTATAGATTCAATTCCTGATTCAGAAACCTGTTTATTCTTCTGCAAAAGAGTTATTTTCCTTCCAAAGTCACCGATTCATGAAAAAACGTTTGAAATGAGTAGTTTTTACAACTCATTCGCGATGGCCTGCATCGAGCGGTGTGTTTCAAAGCCATCTTATACGATGACGAGGAAGACGTACAGATAGTGAAGCCCAATGCGAGCCAAACAGGGATGGACGAAGGTGGCGTCATGTATCTATCGCATCGAAGATCGTGCCTCTGTGTATTATAGGCTCGTATGCATAAAAGTTCTGCGCCAAGGGAAGGACCTGATGGAATAAATAATTTCCCAAATTTCATGGTGGTCCTTTTTATGGCACATGCTCTTTTCTGCAGCAAGAGGCGGCCAACACTGGGAAATATCGCTGCGATCCTTTTCAATGTTGGCCATCTCTTGCTGCAGGAAAGTGTATATGCTCCCCCCCCCCCCCCTCCCCACCCTCACCCCCCTCCCCCCTCAGCCGCTAGGTATCCCGCTTCATCCTACTTCCTAGCAGTGAGGCTCATCAAATGATGCCGAGCACTACCTATGAAATGTTGTAAATCATTTATTCCGGCTGCCCTGCCATATAAATTCGTTTAAATAAAAGTACATTTTCGAGCAGAAATCCCCTTTTTCTTGAGCTGGACATTGGAAATAGTGTGAATTTTGATGCTCAATTGCCACGCGGTCACACACGAACACCGATTGCGCAGCCGTTCATCTCAACTCAGACTTGGGTAATTAAATCCCACTACAGTGGAATACATAGCAACATGCGAATAATGAGTGAAACAAATAAATGCATTTCAATTCATATCGATCAGATGAAAAAACATTGATTTAATGAAGGAATATGCCAACAGCGCAAAGAAACCACACTAATAATGACAAATACAAGTGCATGAGTGCAAGCAATCTGGAATAATTAAAGAAGCGCGAAAAGTACGAAAATCTTTTCCAGCGCAGATTCAAAGCAGAGCATATCTTAATGCACAACATGTCGTGCAATTGCTTTCAAGTGCTTTTCCTTTTTTTTCTTTCCCGCCTGTTAAGAGAAGAATAAAAAACCGAATGTGAAAAACAATATGACCAAGCAATGAAAAGGAAGTAAAATTCAAGTGAGAAAAAGCGCAAAAAGATGAACGATGGGATGACCTTCTTCTTATGTATGCCGAGGCGAGCTCAGCCGTTAAAGGTAAACTTACATTCAAAGTTGGTTTTCTCAAAGCTTCGACGCGCTGCTTCGTTACCATAACCTGTCGCGAAGATACTCCGCGGCCTAGGGAAGTAGGTCTCACCGAAGCTCACAAATTTCCATCTGAATTTGATTGATGCGCTGGAAGTGTTCGCTCTCTCGACTGCTTTGCCTGCTCCAGTCATTGGAAAATTTCGTGGCTGGCAGTTCGCCCAAGGCCGATTGATGTCTTGTTTCATGAGAGCGGGAACATTTGTCATACGATTTCCTGCAGACATCTCCTCCTGCGCAATAATTCAAGCAAATTGCGCATCTTCTTCATTTCCAGAACTTCTCGTCTTTCCCGTCCTGTCGGGATATTCGTGCAAGAGTCGGAGTAATGGCCGACTGCGTTGCAGAACGCGCACGACTTATTTCTCCCGAAGATCTTTTAGATCTTGCCATGGTATCTGCTGGGTCAGCAAGATTTTTGGTTTTCCAGTTCTTCGATCACCAGATTCAAATCCGCTGCAGCCTGCTGATTTTTATCCAGCTCCAGTTCTAAAACAACAGGAACCAGGAGCTCTTTTTTGTGCAGGCGAGCTTCTTCTGTTACCAATAGCTCATCCCTCTCAGGTTCCTCTCTGGCCGGTTCTTTCATAATTTCTCCATTTTTGGCTGTCCCTGGACCTCATATCCTTCATCAGGCAGCAATGCGTCTTCCATGTCTATCTCCAATACTTCGATATAAAATAGTCATCGACAACCTACTATCCACAATCCTAATTACTTTGAATGGTTTTGGCCCAGCTGTGCTTCATCTTTCTTCTCCAATTCCACTGTCAAGGCTTCTTCTTTAAGCTTTGCGGCGGCGCCATCCCTATCACCTTCCTTTTTCTGCTACTCTACTTTGGTGTTGTCTTCGGGGCTTCTTCTATGATATCTGCGGCGGCACCTTCCCTCTCTTCGTTGACGTGTTCGATGTTTGTCGGTTGTTCCGTTTCATTTCCTAGATTTCTTAGCGCTTTTTCGACTGCGGTCGTCGAAATGTTTATCGCTTCTTGTAGTTCGCGAACTTTGATTTGCTCATCTATTTTTCCCATATCCATTTTTTCACGTATATCTTCTGTTGTCGTTGCTCAGTAATTGATTGCTTTCTTGCTTTGATGTTTTCAAGTTTAGATTGTAAGAGCGAGATTAGTTGAGAATCATTTCCGTACTTTTTCTTGAGTAATCGTATGGCCCGATCATAAATATCTTCGGTTACTGGATAGCGCTTTATTGATTCTAGAGCTTCTCCCTGCTCGAGAGATAACTGAATTATTGTAAGTTGGATTCTACCTGAGAATTTACATTTGGCTCAAAAGCGTCCAGAAATTAGTAAGTTCCCATAGTTCTCTGAAAAAATGGGTATTGGAAATGCAGACAGCTTTGGCCTTCCCATACTTGCCTGCTCCAATCCTCCGCACCTACCGCCATACCCTAAACTCATGGTTGCTTGTACTATGCGCCAGCGCTTCTAGTTAAATTGCTAGATTCTGCGCTTTGTCTGTAACTCCATGTAACTTCAATGTATTCTTGAGTTGAGTTTTCTTGGTCTTCTGATAAAGTGCCAACAAGGCTTTCCACTAATTGCTAAACTTTGATAAATTATGTATAACTATTTTGCAAGTGACTTTCAATTCAAAAACGATTCTTAAGGCGTTCTCTTGCGTATCTCGATCAAAAAATGTCGCAAAGCCTTGTTCGGGATGTTTTGCGCTTTCGAACATTTTCATTTAAATTGTTACAAGTTCCAATGAGAAGCGTCTTTTAAAAATTTCAAAGCTATTGCCTGCCATAACCAAAAATTTAATTGTTTGTGATAGCGCAAAGTATGACGATACTCAATAGATGTTAATCAAGATGAAGCAATGCTAAAATACCTCTTTGAGTTAATGCGCAAAATGCGCAACAAGAACAATCCAGCACAGTACTATCAAAAATATCAACAGATCCTACCTTTGCGGCCCTTTTCTTGTAGGCTATGCACCATAAAATGATTTTGATGCTTAGTTGCCACCCGGTACATATATGGAATGATTGGTCACCAGATCAAACGCACAACACGAACACCGACTACGCAGCCGTTCATCTCAACTCAAACTTGGGTAATTAAACCCCAGTACAGTGGAATACAAAGCAACATGCGAATAATGAGCGAAACAAATGAATGGCAATGAAAAGGAAATGATATTCAGATGAGAAAAAGCGCAAAATGATGAGCAATGAAATAAACAAAAGCGAGGTGATCTCCGCCTCTCCTTATGTATGCCGAGGCGAGCTCGGCCGTTAAAGCAAAAACATTACACTCAGTTGGTTCTCTCAAAACTTCGACGCGCTGCTTCGCTAGCGTATCCTGATCGCCGCGATAGGAAAATCGAATGTGAACAAATATCACATTCGGTGCCGTTTACACATGAGATAAGATATTTCAAAACAACGTGCATCGCCTCTGAATGCTCGAGGCTCGCGTTTTACCACCTACTCAGATAATCGCCGGGGGCAGGCGGTCGCAAATTCGCGCTTTTCTGCAGGCGCTCAGCAGAATTTTGGGGCGTGGCCAAACCTTCAGCGGGCGGCACTTCCTTTACGGTCGCATATTCTGCCAGCGGGCAACAATACAGCATTTTGTGCAAGTCGGCAAATAATTTCTTTCAGCAAGCGCTGGCTAAACTTTCAGCAGCGCTAGGACTCTTTTAGCGCAGTTTCGGGCATACGCCGAGTAAAGATGAGACTCTATGTGGCAGAGGTGTCATCGATGGTTTAATTACTCAAGTTTGAGGTACCCTCTTTCAGCGGAAGGTACCTATGGGCTGTGCGGTCCCTCACAAAGGACCGTGCGGCCCTCAATATTTTTGCATATTCTCGCGGAAAGTCCGTGAGAATGCGGCCACTGCGCCGCAACTAATCTATAGAAAAATCACGATGCTTCTCCGAGCATTCCTCCAAGAATTGGCCAACATTCTTTCAAATTTCTGCATGCGGACCGCAAGAAATTAGCGAACTATTTTTTCGGTGCCCGCCCGCCCATAAATCGCATGGCCGCCTGCCCCCGACGATTATCCGAGTATTAGCTGGTAAACACGGCTCCGGCAGGCACTGTTTAATATATATTCATAATCAGCTCACTTACCCCCTGTGCCAACTCCCAGCCCTCGTAGCTCTGACTCTGCTAAAAATCGACAAAATCGATATCGATCAAGGGCGAAAAGTAGCCTATGACACCCGCCCCGCCCGGAAGTGTATGTGGGCCAGGTTTGGTACGGATTCAGCGATAAAATTTTCTAATCAACATACGCATATACAGACAGACAGACACATACAGCTTTATTCATTCAGATACGCCTCCCTCGTGATCGTATAATGATGGCTTTGAAACTCACCGCCTAATGCTGACCTTCGCTAATGAGTTGTGGAAAACTAGTAATTCCAAAAGTTTTTTCATGTGTTAAGCAATGACTTTGATAGAAGAAAATTTTCTTGCAGAAAAACAAATGGGTTTTCGAATTAGTTTATTGAGTTTATAGCTATTGTTAAAAAAACAGGTTTTGTTTGCCATTCGATAATCTGTCCTCTTCGTTTAATTTACAGTCTTCACCACTTATTAAACCCAAGAAACCGAAAAAAAACATGTGAACGAACTGGGTTTCGTATAGTGTTCTCTGAACCCGTCAGATCATGGCTCTGTATCCCTTGTATCGAAAAACTCGGCGCGATACAGTTGAAGTTGTAGATCGCGAAAGAGCTGTACGATGTAGGAAACAACCGTTAAGCTTCCGAGAGAAGCATAGTTTGTGCTTGGGCAAAGATTTATTCATCTAGCACATTTGCACAGAAACTTGGGGTGAAGTATAAATTAATCAGGGTCCCCAAGCAGATTTCAGCTGATTGAAGTACATTTCTGTTGCTATAACAGAGTCGTTGCTTTTGACAGCAGCTGTATTACAAATTGAAGCAATAATTTTCTGTTTGTAACAGAGCAGTAAAATTGTATCCGAAAAGTGTCGCAATTCACCAATCGCTGCGAGGGATAGCCAAAAAACAACAGCAAACGTTCTGAATGAGTTGATATATCACAAGTAAATTACCTAATTATAATTAGACACTTGAAAATGTATTCAAATATGGATTGCGTAATTCTGCTACGCTCTTGCCGAACATTTTCCTACTTCGTTATCGTACAGTTGAATCGTACTGGAAATCGTTGATTCGGGTTGCTTGAACACTTACATCGCAAAGTAAACATTCAAAGCTTCGTAGAGAAGCTGCCCGAAAAGATTGCTATCATCAAAGATTAAAAGTGGCGGAAAGCAGAAAAAAGCTCCAATGATTCCCCAAATAGTATAACCAACTGAAGCGTAGGTGAGCCACTGAAATAACAAATTATAATGCAAGTCAGAAACACTTTATGAGCCTTGAGCCATGATTGCTTATGTTGATGCAAAAATAATGTTCTTCTGGGCCCTTTAGCAGACGTCTTTTTTTCCTCCAAACCTTCTTTTTTGAAATGGATTCAGCACAATATTTGAAAAACTTTTCTGTATATCTTCCAACAGTGGTCAAAAGGAGCCTCTAACATTATATGTTAAATCTAACTTTGCATCATACTGATAGAGTGTGAGCGAGTGTTTAAAAAGCAATGTACTCTCATTTGCTGGTTGCTGTTGTTGAGAAAAGGAAATTCATGTTGCCCATAATAAATAAAAATTCTCGACCGCTTCTATATACTTGATAACTGATCACCTTTGTAACACGAACATTTTCAGCTAGTTGAAACTTCATGCTCAATGTGTAGTCAATCGTAGAATATCCAGTCATATTTTCAAGATCACGAAGTTTAGCTGCATCACGTCTGTGCACCATTACCATGGCTACTGACGAGAATATATTTATGCACAAAGCGAGCACAGCAAAAGGAACCACGGTCTGCATGCCTGCAAACAATGTTTGTTGTAAGCGAAAGGTGTTCATGGGATAAGCACTGTTGATAGAGTTGATTCTTCCACATGCTGATTATGAAGGGTTTCGTGGTATTTCGCCAGAAGGTTACATATTCTAGAGCATTTTCAGGTGAGAACAAACAATAGCGCATTATGCATCGAACTTTTATGCGGATAAGTCATTCATTTGTGTTGGCCGATAAGCTGGGATCTTATTTGAAAGTAATCAGGCGTACGAATCGGATTCAGTTGCAATGCACAAGAATAGTCATGCGCGAGTCATTTGTAACGTAATATATGAGTATGTATAGGGTGCGTAGCAAGTGGTACCCGGGCAGCCGACTGCTGCCGCAGCCAGCCGCTGGAGCTGCCTGCAAGGCCGCTGCAAATGGTACAGTGACTACGCTCGTCATCTAAAACTCTTGCGGTAAGTTTTCCTCGTACCTCGTTGCGCTGAGGTGCGATATCATCCTCAAGGATAGCATGATATCCTCGATATCTATATCATTTCAAAACGGCAAACATTCATAACTTGAGAGCCATGCAAATTAACAAAGTTATACAAAGAATGTTTTTTCTAAAGAATATTGGTCATAAAATTAAATCAATTTGACTACTCGAAATTACCAGAAGCTGAAAAATTCAGCAAATCTAAAGTTTTTGAAAATCCCTTTTTCGGCTTTTAGCGTCAAATAATGGACGAAGACATTTACAGCAATATGTTACGGATATAAAAGTGAGATTAGTCTATTACAACTTGATTTCATTATCTAGCAATGTTAAGCGAGCTAAATAAGCTAGTGGTTGGTTAGTGATATAAGGTGAAAGCCACATATGCTGATATAAAAAGAAACACAGTACATCACCAAAAAATTAAAGTGTTTTGCTATTCTATACAGTTGTCAACAAGAGCCTTAGGCTCACTTACGTAGAAAGTTCATCCTCCAGGTATTTTGAGAAAATAATAAGAGATTTTAGACTCAGAACCCGTTGCAAAATAAAGAAATGATTCAGTCAAATTCACGGTCCCATGAACATTTCAGAATTCAAAAGCTTTTAAAATTCTGAAATACCCATGGAAATGCGAGTTCAATTGCCTTCATCATTTTTCTAAGTGTTTGTAACTTTTTGGAAACATTCTGGTATAGTTTTATATTCGTTTGCATGGTTCGAGAAAATAAGAATTTTTTGCTGGTCAAAATGATAAAGATGTCGAGGATATCATACTATCCCTGAAGCTAATATCGCACCTCAGCTCGACGAGGTGCGAGGAAACCGGGAAACGGTCAAGAGGCGCGATTTCTTCGGCTGTCACTAGCTTAAGGCTCTAGTTTAGTGCTATGCGAGCCTTCAAAAATTACCAGACAAAGTGCATTAGCTTACTATTTGCCTGAGGTCACCACTTACTGAGTTTCATGGTTTTTGCTATGAATCGGAATGAATTATTTACGAATTTGTTCTGAAATACATTTTCATGTATTCTTGACCTTCAAAATTGCTGTTTTGAATTTATTCTAGAATATCAAGATTGAACAACTCATGCAACTATCTGGTTCTTCTATATTTCATATACTTCTAGAAAGTTGCAGAACACTTATTATGTGTTATTTGGTATCCAGCTGACAATAAAAATCGCGCCTCTTGATATACACCCGAGGAAACCTCTCGGCAAGAGCTAGATGACGAGCATAGTTAGTGTACCATCTGCAGCGGCCTTGTCGGCAGCTCCGACGGCTGGCTGCCAGGGCCCGGCACGAGGTGGGCAGACGGGGTTTTCCAAAACGAATTCCCCTTTGACCCCAATAGTTTTTACGAATACCCTCTTGAGCCCAAAAATGGCGCTTTGTGCTTGTGGAACGAGAGCACCGGCCACACTTCGCCTAAAAGCGCTTAAGAACGCCCAAAATGCTCAAATTCCTCTAATTATTCCTCACCTGTATCAAGATAGAAAACAAGAAGAAGAAAGGGAACGCAGTCATAGGACTGAGAGATACGCCGTTCCCGCGCGTATCGATTGACTAGGGCGCGCTTTCCATCTTAGAAGCTAGGCTGCTGATGCGATTTTGGGCTCTAACAAAGACAAGAGGAGGATCGGAACCAAAATCTCACCATATAGTAAACTTTAGGTGAGCAATAGATTTATGTAAAAGTTTTGAAAAAATTACGTGAATTGAAAGTTTTGCCCACCTTAGGTGGACATTGGGTGGGCAATTGCCCACCTAATTTGGAAAAAAGTTAAGCACGCTCTTCATTCACATAAGTTTTTCATAATTTTTCATACATTGTTCCTTAGTTATACTGCGCGTACACACACCAAGTCCCGCGCGCTTTCGTTTTCTCTGCGCTGCAAACGAGCCATTTTTCCATTTTTTTTGATAGTGGGAAATTTTCAGAAAAAAGCTTGCCACAACCTTCATTCACATAATTTCCATGAAACTTCTAAGATAAGCCCTGCAGCCGTGCTCATGTACCTACCAAGTTTCATACCGTATGGTCATCTTTGCGCTGCAAACGAGCCATTTGAATTCACATCTTCATTTACCAGTTTTGCGAAATTTTTGGAAAAAATGCTTATTACACCTCCCATTCACATAAGTTTTTCATAAAATTTCATGCTTTGTTTCTATTAGCCTCTCTTTGTTCGCTTACGTAATTTGGTGCTATATCATTACGCCTGCATTGAGGACTGATCATGTAATCATGCTGTTCAACGGCATCGCTCATGCGACGTCGCGCACGCGGCAATTAGCGGCAACGCGGCGTAGTGCGCGCGAAGTCTGCTGTGCGTTGAGGTTTATGAAAACTATTTTCCGATGAATCAGATGTATAAGGTAAGCATGATTCGACCTTCTTTTGCTTGCACTTGGAATCTTCTTCCGGGGCTCCGCCCCGGATCCCGCAAAAACGATATCCTCTTTGCTTTTTGGCCCCAAAACGATTTCCAGCTTGTCATTTGCCCACCTCGTGCCGGGTCCTGCTGGCTGCTGCAGCAGTCGAGTGTCCGGGTACCACTTGCACGCCTCCCTTATGTATTAGGTCGTTTCATAAGTTTGCAGAGTTTTTATAAATCAACAAAATGACAAAATTTTAGCAAAATTCATTCAATAATGCATGTCCGGCTGTTGCGCACAATCTTCTGACCTTGCAGTCAATTTTTCGGTTCCATTTTTCCAGAACTCAGCAGGTCTAATCTCAAAAAAATTGTCTAACCAGCGCCTGAAATCGTCTACAAAATCAAAACAGATGCCGTTAATATGATTTGTGACAGACTGGAACAGACGGCAGTATGCTAGAGCGAGATCTCAGGAGTACACTGGATACTAATGTACCTCCCTGCCGATTGCAGGACAGCTGTGACGACGGTTGCCGTAGGGGGCTGTGTTTTGTCGCGCAGGAAAGCTCGATGGACCTGTTTATTAGGCCTTTTCTGCAATAGGGATTCGTTTAAAAGGTGCAGCCTGGTCGCCTACAGTATGGGCGACGGTCTTGTTCTTGCCTAGCAATTTATAGTGCAGAACGACCTGCTCATCCTGCAAAAAGTCTTGTTCAGGAATCATCTTAAAAACACTTGGCACTTCTTGGCAATCCACTCCTTTTTTGTCCTATATTGACGAGAAGACGCCGTTTTCCATAATCGGCACCAAAATCTGCTTAAAACGCTTTTTTGATAAGAAAAAATGAGCAAGTGCCGAAAATGCTTCTTTTTGCCTCTTGAGAAATTTTTCTTCGGAAGCTAAGCAAACCAGCTTTTCATTGAAAATAATTAGTTTACTTTGAAGGGTATGATTAGCTCTTCTCAACGATATACGCATCTTGCCGCAAATCAACCGCTGCTCAAAGAGATGTGAACAAGAATGAACTCTATGAACTTATGAAACGACCTAATATATTGTGCTTGGCAGCTGACGACACCTTACCAGTCAAGCTTTTTTTAGATGAACAGACTTTGAAAATGTGCACTACTACCCAGTACATAACCATACAAACGAAAAGAGAAAAGAAAGGTGAGAGAAGTCGAAAAATCAAAAGTCGTTTAGTAGCGCGCTTGGTATGCAGTACGCATATTAAATAACAAATGGCTCGAGGACATATGGCGATTAACACATAGTAACGAGTTATAATCCTTCAGGGATTTCCCAGACGCCTGGGGATCCCAAAAGGGCCATACAAATGCTTAGAACTCAGCCCATGGCAATGCTCTGTCCTTCATTATGCTATAAGGTAATACCTGCTATCTCTGTCTTCTCCCCTAAACCTATTAAGATTTCATATTGAGAAGATAATATGCGCAGTCCTGCAAGGACTGCTCCTGCGACGTAACTTGAATTGTGTTGATGAGAGACTTCACATCAGACTGGTTATTAGATTCCTCCGCAGTTAAAATACGCTGAACAAGTATGAAGATATCAAAAAAGTTACATTTCCGTTTTCCGGACCCATTTTTCAAAGAAGGTATTGCTTTTTTCCTTGTATCAAATTTGGTAAAAATTTACTGGATGGAGAGTCAATCTCCTGCCACGCGTCAAAAAAAAATTGACATGTCATTTATATGTTTGACAGGTTTTACCGCGAGTTTGTTTAGCCTACCTTTTTTATTCAATAATGATCCCATTTTTAGTCAACAGCCTCATGGATGAGCTTTAAAGGCACCGTCCACCCAAATGTAGCCGATGAGATTTTGATGCCTAACAGTAGTGTGGCTCCCAGCTGTAAACTTGCTCAACTCGCGCTGTCAGAAATTGCTTCCAAAGCGAGAGAATTGCTTTAGAAATCGCTTTGAATGACGAATTCGCCACGTTGACTCCTCCCCTTTGAGTGGGCGTGACGTTCGCCCAGCCCATTTGAGCGCACCTAACCAATCACCGTCCCGCACAACTCACCCTGCGGGTTCTCCGAAACGGGGTTTGTCGGGATTTTTACGGATTCTCGACTTGATATCCCCTTATTTACCAGAAGCGCTGCTATGATTTACTCTTATGAATCTGGGCATGTCATCCTCGCTCGCAGCAGGCGACCTAGATTCAAATAGTATGACAAGGGTAGGAGAACGAATTCCGCCTCCGCGGACTACTGGTCCTGCAACGACATGCAACAATGTAGCAAAAGGACCAGTTGCCAGCGAAGGCGGGCTCAAACTAGCGGAGTTCGCTCCCTTACCCGTATGACAAGTATGACAATTCTGTGTGTACCTACTGAAAAACGGCGACCCTCGTATAGCCGAGTATTTCATGAACCTAAGCTCAATGGGTGCATAGCAAGTGGTACCCTGTCAACCGACTGCTGCCGCAGCCAGTTGCCGTAGCTGCCGACAAGCCGCTGCAGATGGTACAGTAATTAGAGTGTATCTTCGTCGTCCAGAACTTTGGCAGGAGGGTTCCGTCGCGCTGAGGTACGGAATCAGTCTCAGGGATAGCGTTATATCCTACATCTATATCATTTTGAATAGCAGAAAATTCAAAAAGTTGAGAACCATGCATTTGAATAAAAAATATACCGCATTTCCAAAAATTTGCAAACACCATAAATGAATAAACAGAAAATCAATACTCTTTAAATCCCAAATTGCACTTTCTTCACACCTGACATTGATCGTATTCTCAAGTGTTTTGAGCCACACAGGTTTTATAGATGGTCTTTAATGATTCCAATCAGCCTAACATTTCGATGCCTTCGTCGTCTGCAGAGGTCCAGAAACCACCGCTTTCATATATCCCTTCCGCCATGACCATCATACCATAAACAGCGGTGGTCTCTCGGTCTCTAAGGAAGATGAAGGCGTCGAGACGTTAGGCCGTGATTGGAATCAATGAAGACCATCTATACAACCTGTGTGGCTCAAAACACTTGGATAATATAATTACTTTGAATCTTTATTTTTTATTGTTTAATGGAAATCTCTTAAAAAATCAAACTCATTTTTCCATGAACACTTCCAAAATGCGGTTTTTGAATTAATTATTAGGGGTGGTTTTTGTCAATTTTGGATCATACTGTGCAATAAGTTCTGGGTTTTGAATTTTTTTTCTTAATTACACCTTTATTCGAAATACTTGAGGAAGTGATCATTTTCCACGTAAGCTTGGGCCTGAAGCTGTTGTTGGCAACTATATGGGAGCATATGGTGATCTACGTTGTTCCCTTCTATATCAGCATATGTGGCATATTTTAACCTTTTACTACTCAATGTTTTGATCTCAAAGTTATTGAGCTCGCTTAACATCACCTGGTCCTGAATACTAATAATAAATCAATAAAGAATACATAACATTCTTCTTTAATCGTTCTCGTCCGTTTCTCGACGTTAAAACTAGGAAAAAAGATTTTCAATAACTAAAGATTTCCTGAATTTTTCATATGGTTATTTTGGGTACTCAAAGTTATTTCCTTGTGACCATTTTCCTTCAGAAACCTCTACTTTATATTGCTTTGCTTATTTGCATGGTTTTCAAGAAATAATGAACTTTCTGCTGTTCAAAATGATACAGTTAACGAGGATATACGTTGTCCCTGAGACTTCTTTCGCACCTCAGCGCGACAAGGTTTTGCTGAACCTCTTCGCAAGAGTCTCAGACGGCGAGCTTAATTACTGTACCATCGGCAGCGACTTTGCCGGCAGTTCTGGCCGTTGGACAACGAGATATTAGGGCAGTCTTCTTCGGCTACCTTGACCCCACTGGAAAGGAAAGTCAAACCTCCATCATACAATTATTCCTATATGTATGTATGTCAGTCATACAAATAAAGGCTACTGCATGACTAAGGCGCAGAAGCAGTATCAGTTGACCGGGCGCGAACGCGATGCGCGCGTATCTTCACCGTTGTAAATCCGGCGCATCCTGCGCTCTGCGGCTATTAACCCGCGCTCGCGCCTAGAGATACTGCGCCTTCGTCATGCAGCAGCCTATATGTCCTTAGCCAACTTCAGTCAAAGCACTGTCAACAAAAGACTAATTATAAGCAATGACAAACAAGGTTCAAGTCTAGAATCAGCGTTTGAAGGCGAACCTTGCTCGTATACCACATATCAGAATGTCACGGTCACCACGTATTTTTTTCATTTGGTACAAATAGAAATTGACATTATTGTAGAAACGGGGAATATTTCCTATTGATCGGCTGTCGCTGGACAATGTATTACCATTCGAGTTGGCCGTTATTGTGATCACTACGTTGCATAACCAATCCAGGCAAGTTTGAGTGTCGTATTTCTCAACTTCTCAATGTATTCGTAATCTTACTAATGAGCTTATATCCAGAATTGAACTCCCTTGTATGGTTGCACATTGTTCGCTGTCAGCAGTCATATAATCTCATAAAATCGAAGCATAGCTGCTCATTTGAGGAAGCTTGATAAACAATTTCTGGTGATTTTCTGGACCACGAAGTTTCCGAGTATTTTGTAAATGATGGTGTTTTGCTTGTTATGCATGAATCTTGAGATAAGCTGTACTGTAGCAGAAGCTCAGTATTTCGTTTCAATTTCGGTAAACCGTTTTGCAGTTTAAGCTTCTTCAAATTACATTGGGAAAACCCATTGTTTCAATAATGTTAGGTTGTAAAGTCCCGGGGCACTTTTGAAAATTTCATTTTCCAAATTTCTCTGGTGCTCGTTCAGACTTTGACACCAAGTGTTGTATAGTGTTCAGTAGAGCGAAGCGTAAACTTTTCAATACCGCTTCTGATTTCTATTGATGCCAAGACGTGTTTGACCTGCACATCAAAAAAGGAAATCTTTCCAACCATAAAAATTTCGCAGTTTTTCTTCCCGCGCCCATTTTTCTGTGCAGTTCAAAGAATTTCGTCCAAATCATGAGTGATCTAATTGAGAAACCTGTTAACTTCTGACCCGCAGCTGCACTCGAGTTTTCGATTTGTGCTCAGAAATTACAAGTTATCGAAATTGTCTCCTACTGCAACTCTTTTCGCAGCTGACGTCGCTTCTGCAGGGATCGCCGCGCCTGGGTGACGGATCCAAAAGATGTGTAAGACATTACACAAAATGTTCAAAGATTTGGTCCGCCCTGTGCAGTACGAGAAGATCTCGTAACTTACGCGAAAATGGTGCATTTTTGGGGGCAAAAAATGGTCGATTTTTCAAACTTTCTGGAAAAATTTTTTTGCAGGTGGCCCCTTAAAGACATGAATGGTCTTCAGCCCCACCAGACATCTATATAACTACAGCATCTGGGGTCTTCAGTTGTTATCCTGCCTGAGATAAACCTGCACAAATAGTCCACTTTTCGCGTCGACCTTTCTCCTTCTGCGCATGCTAGTGGACCGCTATGAGGTGGCGAGATGCCAGCACGACAAATATATGTGTAGACGAAATTCTCTTTGCAATGAAATTTGCAGCTCTGAAAAAGGATCAATCTGCTCGAAGTTATAGCGATTTGAAAAAAAAATCGCAAGTGCTCTGGAACTTTCTTTACAACCTAATGCAATTTTGCTGGAAATGCAATAGCGTAATTACTACCAATATATTAGGTTGTAAAGAAAGTTCCGGGCACTTGTGAAATTTTTTCTTCAAATCGCTGTAACTTCAAGCAGATTGATTCTTCTTTGGAGCTACAAACTTCGCTGTAAAGTTGTCTTGCTGGCTTTTCAGAACCTCAATGCGGTCCATCAGCATACGCAGAAGGGAAAAAGGTCGACGCGAAAAGTGGCCTCTTTGTGCAGGATTATCTCAGACATGGTGAGAGCTGGAGAGCTCAAATGCTGCAATTATATAGAAGTCTGCTGGGGCTGTTATGTGAACTATATAAGTCTTTGTGCGACCACCTGCAAAAAAAGTTTTTTCAGAAAGCTTGAAAAATCGAGCATTTTTTGCCCTCAAAAATACACCATTTTTCGAGCAAATGAGCTTGAAGTCTTCTCGTTCTGCACAAGGCGAACCAAATCTTTGATAACTTCGAACATCGTTGGGGTAATGCCTTACACATTTTTTGAACCCATCATCCAGGCGCGGCGATCCCCGCAGAAGCGACGTCAGCGGCGAAAAGAGACGCAGTCAAAGGCAAGTTCGGCAGACCCGTTATTTCTGAGCGTAAATCGCAAAACTCGAGTGCAGCTGCGGAGCAGTGATTAGACTCCTCAGTCGCATCACCCACGATTTGGATAGAATTCTTTGGACTGCACAAAAAATGGCCGCAGAAAGAAAAATTGTGAATTTTTCATGGTTGGAAAGATTCCTTTTTTGATGTGCAACCAAACACGTCTTGGCATCGTTAAGAATCAAGCGGTTCTGAAAAGTTTAGGCTTTCCTTTATTGAACAGTATACAAAACTTGGTGTCAAAGTCCGACCGAGCCCCAGGAAAATGCTTTAGAGAATGAAATTTTCAAAAGTGCCCGGGACTTTCTTTACAACCTGATACAACATCGTAGATAGTAGTAATCGTTTGATATTCTGCGATAAACGATTACTCGTTGCGATAATGCATAGCTTTCTTTGATGAGATATTTTAATCTATTACTCACTTCAATAATAGTAAAAAACCTTACCGACACTCATCAGTTGCACAAGCACAGTATAGAGCAAGGTGACCATGAGAGCGCTCCCAATCACCAAACGCGAAATCCATGAGCGATTCTTACGTTCATAGTCACTGATATAGGTTGAAGCGAATGTTCTCTCAACCGAGATAGCAGGAATCATAGTTTGAAGACAGGCCAGCAGCAAAAATCTTACAAAGAAAAGGACGAACAGCTCGGTGTTAATGAAACCTGAGATTGAGAGAATTCACAATTTGCTACTGACATAAGACCTGGAGCAGAGGGCCTTCCTCGAGGTCCCAGTCCTGATTGGGCCGCCAAAACTGGAGTGATACGCATCCGCATCGCCCCAATTTTGCGTCACATCCACGATTTGCTTTTCTGCTTTGCTTTAATCTCTTTGCTCTGTCTTCGACAGCGCGGATATGCAGCGCTGACCTTTAGCGCAGCTAGCGCGAAAATTACCCCAATGTTTCGGCCTAATCCCCAGTGGCACAACATATGAAGAAATTACAGGATCAGGATAATGGCAGCAGCCGTGCTGGCAGAGCATAGCTTTTCTTGAATTTCGCCACTACTCCGACGGTCCTTTGCACGCATATGATTGCTTATAAGTGAGGTGAGCACTCAGATGATGTCTTTTACTTGAGAGCTTTACGCTCTCGTGATGTTTGGGTGAGCGCAAAGACCATAATCGGATTCATTGTCACAATTTTATGAGAACTTTCTAACAACCACAAGACACACTAGAACGTGCAACACTGTTAACATTGAGTAGTTGCTAATTTATAGTCTACTTCATTTTCATATCAATTCATGATTCAGACGAAGATTTAGAAATGTATTGAACATCACTTACCTTTTTTGCCGAATATTTCGAGGTCGTACAGTATGAGAAAGATTCGCGAAACTTCTGCTATTGTAAGAGCAACAATATGCGCCTGAAAGTTCACAACTAGACCCTAAACATTGACGTAAAACGCTCAATATTGAGTTTTGAGGGTTTCTTACACGTATCTGAATTCCTCTAAACTGCACTTAATATAATTTCCAACACAATAACTACCTAACCACGACTGCTGCCACTGTTGCTCTGCGTCTCTGACTTGCGGCATGGCTAACAGTTGCCAACATACAACAACATGTCTTTGAAGCCAACAACCAACCTTTTTGCCAACGTATTGTTGCATGCTGCAATTGTTGTAGCACGGCGTCAAAGTGTGAGCTATGCGTTCCGCAGGTTACACAGGCACGAGGTAAGCAATCATGCCATGCCATATCACACATACCTATATATGATCATCTCTGGTCCCTGTTGACTTCATCACCCACGGCCTTGCAGTGGGTGATGAAGTCACACCTGGAACCAGAGAGGTATACGCGATGAAATCTTCCTGTCGACTTCATTTTGTGAACAACAACGTTTTCTTTTTAAGCAGCATCACTGGAGCAGAGACGATGCTGGAGCAATCAAACGAAGTAGGGAAGAAGATCGGATTGAGGAAGTTTCGGAAGAGAACTCAGTTCATCTGTATCGTGAACGTTCGGTAAACGAAGGACGATTTGAGGGAAGAACTTAGCAGGAGAAGCAAAGCAGTTTGGGTCGCCTTCGGGCCTCTGAAGGAAACCATCGACCAAAGGACGGACCGGGAGCTTCGAGCCCACCTTTTTGACTCATGCGTTCTCCCAGCGCTCTGTCAATCATCTGAAGATGACCGACACAAACAACATCTTGTCAGACTTCGCAGTTCGGATAAGAAAGAATGCCCCGTTTTTGTCAATTGCAGAATACGTTGCGAAAGTGAAGTATCGATGGGCCGGTCACATCATGAGAAGAGCGGATGACAGATGTACACTAAGAACATCAGACTGGCTCGCGAAGCGAAACCGTCCCAAGGAAGACCACATGAGCAGATGTGCAGATGTGTTCGTGGAAAGGATGGCCCGAGCGAGAAATCAGCTGGATACGATTCTTGCACCTGAAACTCGTAGGCATAGCCGCCGACGGCAACAAAGGAAATCGTGGATGTCTATGAGGAACAGGGACCACTGAAAACTTTTGTGCTGAAACCCGCACGCCATGTGAAGAAGGGTCAAAGTATCTGAGTATGTATTGCTCTTAAATAGTGGATTAAGAAGTGCTGGCAGATTGTCAGCCACCACGTTTCTCATCTTGAGCGCTTCAATTCCGCAGGTAACCACAAAGCAGCAACAAGTCGGGGTAAGCTCAAACACCTGCTGTAGAATCTTCGAGGCTTGCGCCAGCAAATCACATAAAATAGGATGAAAAAGCTTCTTCGGAGATAAAGTTAAGGTCAGGGCCTGACCCCTCAGAAGTCTGAGCTGCCTAATCTTTTGTAGCCTTATGCCTGACTCCCTCACTTGTCTATAAAATTCAGAAATCGCTCCACTTTTGGGACGGTTATTGAGCTCACATCGTCTTCTTGCTACAGTGAAAATTTGAAGTCAGACCTCCACCCTCCAGCGAAGATTATGGTTCCAATAGGCCCATCCAAATCGAAGTCCGTCTTCAAATCACTTATTTTTCAAAAGTGGTCACAGAAAATTGGGCGTACAGACTTTGATAATTCTTTGAAACTCTTTAGGACAAGATGATCTCTGCATTGTCACACTCCTTTCAGATGTGAGAGGAAGAAGGGTTTGTTTGTGGACTATTAAGAGCGCTCGTTTTTGAAAAACTTGTGCCTGACTTCTTGCTCAACTCTTGCTATCATATGTAAAAAAAATCATTTGAGTAGAGGTGAAGACCAAGAAAGTGCGAATGCCAGAAATGCTTGCGCGACGCCACGGCAACCCTATCCGATTTATGAATGCACCTTATGTATGCAAAGTCTGGCTCGGATCGGTTCAGATGAATTTTCAATTGAAACATACGTCCACACAAACATACAGGCAGGCAAACAGACATCCAGCTTTATATATAAGCTGCTACAACATAGTGGGAGAGTGAGTGAAGGCAATAAGATCAGTCGAAGAATGTTTATGGAGAAGCATGAGCATATAGCAGATTCGTTTCGGTTTTTTGAGTAAAAAATATGCTTGATTTTGCTAATGTATTTGAGATGATTTGGTGTGAAGGTAACTCATCGAGTAAAGTATAGGCAGTTCATGGTATGCAAAGACTGAACGCCGTTGCGGCAGATTAAGGGCCGCATGCACTAACATTTCCGCTGGGGAGGGGATCGCAGCTTCAGAAGAAAGCTTCATATCCTGAAGCTCCGGATATCTGGATTTCACGCTGTCTACCTGTCCGTAAGTACTCCCACCATCCTTCACTATGAACATATTAAGCAGAAGCGAGAAGCTGTACAAGCCGCATTTCCCAGCTTTTTGTAGGATCCCCTTATGATCCCTGGGGGACGAACATCTATTCTTCAAAGTCATTTTTCTTTCTCCGAAGTTAACGAAAATCTCCCAAAGTCATACTGAACATCTAACACAACAGTGCTAAGCATGTTGTTGATAAGAACAAATGAATTTTTGAAAAATCGAATTTTTCGGTATACCCCAAATTCCGACCTGTGGATCATCGAAAATTTCATGACTTCAAAACATCATTTGTACTAATCAGCAACATGCTTAGCACTGTTGGGTTAGATAATCCGCACAACTTTGGAAGTTTTTCGTTGACTTTGGAGAAAGAAAAATGACTTCAAAGAAAAGCGCCGGGGGTCATCAGGGATCATACAAAAGCTGGAAAATGCGGTTTGTACAGCTTCTCGCTCCTGTTCAACATGTTCATAGTGAAGAATAGTAGGAATACTTACGGATAGGTACACAACGTGAAATCCAGGTATCTGGAGTTTCGAAATATGAAGTTTTCTTTCAAGCTGCGATCCCCTCCCTGCGGCCATGTTAGTGCATGCGGCCCTAAGGCAGTACGTACTGGGGAGAGGCAGCAGACAGCTAGAAGAACGAAAATGCATTTGATCTGAGAGGAGCCGACAGGGGCGGCATTGGCGACCCCTCTTGAGTGCGATGAACCGCCTATAACTGCCATTCATTTGAAACAAAACAAAGCCCACCTGTGCTACTCTTATAAGATTTATGTGAAATATTTGTTCCAATTTCCGCAGCTCGTAGACTAACCAAATAGCTGCCGGACACATCAGAATTATAAAGAGCAGCTCTACGTAGATTAGAACGTACATGAAAGAACATGAAGATAGGGTTTCCGTCGATGGAGTCACTACAGGAATATAAAGCGGCACACCATCCGCAATTTGGAAATGCATCAAGACAATAAACAGACCGAACGGTTAGCATCAAGTAGAAACGCCTCTTACTCTTGGTTGTTGTGACTGCATGTCTTAGCATTTGTAGCAATAACAACTGTAATTGAAATTCGTTCTTCTTTGCTGTTGTCAGAAAAACTATGAAGGAATCAGAAAGCAAGAACACAAACCACGATAACTGATGAGTCAAAGAAAGGTAATTGGAGCTATATAATTTCTCTTAGGTCCGCGAGGTTCGGCTTATTCTCTTTCGAACGGGCAAGCAGAAGGCTTAGTATCACACTGCTTAGAAGCCGTGTTCTGCCGAAAATTCAAATTTCGGCTCTTTGTTCACTGCGCTTTCGCTAGGATAAACCTCGCAGAGCAAACGACGAATAGATTTTCTTACAACCTTGCTTTGAGGACGGGTGAAACAGTGTCCGCCAAGATACACAATCGCTGCGGTACCCTGCGAGCTTAGCTGTGGTGGCATGCACACTTTTCTGATGAGGAGGAAAACCTCAAGCTGGCTCTAATCCCATTAGGCCGTAAATTTCCCAATTTCCTAAGCTTAAGAAAAAATGTAGCAAAAATCGGTGATGGTGTTGGAAGGAGCCAATTTTCCTCTACGACTTCCCTTGATCTGTTTCACATTAAGTGATTTATTTCTAGGCGCTTTTGCCAACACTGATAAGACTAATTGATTTTTCAATAACTTCCAAGTTCCACTTTCGCTAATCTTGGGCATTGCTCGTATTGTCAAAATATTCTGTGCCGGACAGGTATTCTGTGCTAGGTGATCCTTACTGATCCAATCGAGGTAGAGTTTCGACACCGTCGTCTTCCTCAGAGGCCTAAAAGTGACTCAAAGTGTCACCTGTAGCTCCATTCACAGGTCATATAACGATATGAAGAGAAGGAAGTTGGAGTTTATTAATAGGCAATCATTTTTGTTGTTAATAGCTGGATTCTTTGTTGCAATCCTGGACGCTGTTAACACTTTCGTAGCCAGGGTTTCCTTCTGGTAAGTCAGGATTTAATGTCTGTATCGAAATGATCTCCACCATGCGATCCACTTCTATGCTTGGCCAAAGGTGATAAATGAGTTTTGCGCCTTTTATCTGCCATGTGTTCTTTTGCGAGTACCTACTGTTCTTCTCTCTAATATATTAGGTTGGTGCAAAAGTTCTTTCGCACCAAATTCAAAAATTCATAACTTGTTGAATTCTCAACGAATCTGCAAGATCTAAAGCTTAAAGGCAGCGTCCAGGCAGATCTGGACCTACGAGGCTTTTACGTGGAAAGTACTTTTGGGGCCCTAACGAAGGCACTGCCCAAGCGGCAGCTCATGTAGTGCTCTAATGCCTGAAATATTCTCCTCGAAACTGGCCCCCGCGAACGTATTCGCATGGAATCATGGCAGTTTCGCGCCAGGATCCACCCTTTGCGCCATGAATCCATGCGAAACACGGTCGCGGGGTCCAGTTTTGAGGGGAATATCTCAGCCGTTAGGGCACTACCTGAGCTGCCGGTTGGGCAGTGGCTTAGTTAGGGCCCCAAAAGTACTTTCCACGTAAAATCCCTATAGGTCCAGACTGCCTGGACGCTGCCTTTAAGAGAGGAGCTCATGCTCTTTGCATCTGTGCCTGAATTGTTCGTTATTGTTTACAAATGAAGGAGATAGAAGCTCAAAACCAAAATCACTCAAAATTTGAATTTTTCGTGTAGGGTCATAAAAAATCGGAAACGTGTCGTACGGAATGGATACTGAAGCAGCATCACCTTGCAGTTGCGCGCTAATAGGCGTCTTTGAAAGGCCGCGTTGACACTATCAGAGATAAAAGGAAAGCATAGTGGAGGTTTATTATCGATATAAATGTTACCATCTCTGAGATGCTGTTTCGGAGCACATCTGTATGGCTGTTTCGAACATTTTTCCGACGAAAGTTCTCTTTGCGATTTCGGACTTGTTGTCTCCGGACCACCAAGGTTGATGGGCGGGGCCAGAGTTGTCAAGCTTCTCGCTATGGAATACATCTTTTGCAGCGAGGCTGGGCGATTACTTAGCTGGGGGCCCGGCTATTAAATAACATCAAACTCTCATCAAGCTAAATTTGTGTGCACAGTGCTTTCAACGCAGACCTTTAATGGCTTGGCGAACGCAGACCGTAATCAGTCTTATCCCACTCCTTCATTGCATTTGTTTTGTTATTCAAGAAAATGTTGTAAGCGAGCAGAGCAAGCTTCCAGCTACAACACACTACAATTTTTTTGAAGCTGGCCGTAAGTGACTGCAACATTCTGAGGCAATTTTTTCAGGGGAGAACGATAACGATATTTTTCAGACGACTACGACGTCCAACTTTTGCTCAAATATGATGAAAATTGACTGTTAACGAGCGAAAGGTCATTTCCAGAATGCTTTGTTGACAGAGTAAGCCAATGGTATGTTTATTTATACAGCGATGAAACAGGTAACACTCGTATCGTCAACGACTCTGAACAACTCCTAATGGCAAAATGCAGCGAACACATGAATCGACATTACCGACCACAAAGAACAATCATAATCTCCCCGAATATACTTACACTACAAATTAGACGAATAAAACTGAGAAATGACTACTATCACAAAACCCACTGGCACCGGGCTATATTATACTGGTTTTAATCTATTGTTCAGTAAAAATATATTACAAACTACTCAGCTACTGAGTGATTAAGGGGATTACGATTTGGCACTTGCTTTTTCCTGATGGCCTTCCAATTTGTCCAACACCTGAAATGAGAGTTCCAGTCAGCCAATTTCGAAATTTTCAAATAGAAGTGAAGAGTTTTGAGAAAATCAAGTGTGTAATGTGAAAAGGATGTGACAACTCCGTAGAACACAGTCGCTGTAATGCCGGATGAGAAAAATGCCAATATTAGTCAAACTAAATAGCAAACAATTTTCATCGCGAAAGTTACAGAAAATCCGGAATAAGAAAAATAATTTTAATCTAATGTGTTCTGTTTTAATCTAATTCAAGATAGCTAAAAAGCATCCATTTATGATTGAGATGAGATAAGTATCTAAGCTCAGTGAAATGAAACAGATGTCAAAGACAGGTAAAAATTTTGTTTAGAAATTACCCCTACATTAAAGTTTGTCCGAAAACTTTGAGATATCTTGCATCTGTAAATGGCAGAACTCTATAGAGCCTACTGCAAGGAGTCAGTGTGAATTTTTAAAAGTCAAGAAAAATGCTTTTTCTGAGCCTAAATCAATCCTGAAGAAAAGCACTACTCTCAGTAGTACAGATTCAAAAAAGAATTTTTTTCTTCCTATATTTTTCAAGGCCTCAAAAATCTTCGAGATGTTGAATAAATCCTATTGTAACAATCGACCAGCATGAAATTCTATAACAAGGAGAATTAGATTATCCCATAATCATTTTGTTGATTTTGCGATTCTTTGAGCTCTCTCAATTGAATCTTCAAAATTTGTAAATAAGCGTTTTATTGAGTTAGATTTCCTGCAAATGTGCCAGCAATGGCTTTATATTCTATTCACTGCTGAGAAGAGTAGATTTCGATAAATGCATCAAAGTCCTATTTCCACAAAATAATCAAGTCTTGCTAATATATTAGAATGCAAGGAAATCTTGTCATAAAAATTGGCTGTACCGGTATTACCGAGAAATAATGCCTTCCAGATACTTTACATCCCAAATTAACCTCAATGAAAAATTTCTGGGAATGGTGTTTACATCAACAATTTTTACTGATTTTCCTCAGTTTTTATCGATTTTCAGCATTGAAGGAGCGACGTGATGCTACTTGTGTCGCACGAACCTGCATAGCACAGCTTGGTAGCCTTGTTCCAGGACCGAAGATCAAAGATGCTCCAGCCTTGTACAATGCATCATAATCTTGTGGTGGAATCACACCTCCAACGACAACAACAATATCACTGAAAAAATTGAATTTCACATTTCTAACATTCCGTGCTTCTTATAGCCCTGGACTCACGGTCTTCCGAGCTTCTTGAGTTCCTTGACGAGTTCTGGCACAAGAGTCAAGTGTCCAGCGGCTAAGCTGCTAGCGCCGATCACATGCACATCAGCATCGACGGCTTGTTGCGCGGCTTCCGCCGGGGTTTGGAATAGTGGTCCAACATCGACGTCAAAGCCTGAAAGGTTATTCAAGGTCCCGTAATTTCCAAAGAAGTGGAAGTAACCAACCAAGGTCAGCGAATCCTGTGGCAACAACTTTCGCTCCGCGATCGTGTCCATCCTGACCCATCTTTGCTACCATGATACGAGGCTGACGTCCTTCCTTGGCTGCGAATGCCTTTACACGGTCCATAACCTTAACAAGGAGTCAACAAGATATGGTGAAAGAAGGATGTCCCATAAATGTTAAATTTCCCACCTGAGCCATCTCACTGGTCTCTCCAAACTCAGATTTGTACGCTCCGGATACCATTCTGTTAACAGCAGCGTATCTGAAAGAAAAAAGCAGATCAAAATGTTCAGACTCAGGGTAGGCCCCTTTTTCAAAAATCTTCCACGATTTACGCCTCCAAAATTTGGGCCTTATCAAAGGTCACATCCGTTTATCCGAGAAAATGTATGTAGTCTCCCTCCCACTCCCATTCAAAATGATTTTGAAATCTGATTTTTTAATTTTTTTTCTCACCGTGTGAACACCTTCTCCATAGCATCACTGATTTCTCCAACTGTGCAACGAGCGCGAGAAGCTTCAACGGCCAGCTCGAGTAGATTTCCATCTCCGGCAGCTCCCTGAAAATTGCTAGTTCCAATGAAAAGCTTCTGTACGTTAACTGAGATAAAAAAGTCCTGTTTTGAAGCAAGAGGTAAAAATAATTGAGCCTGAATCGCCGGGTACTTTCTACCTCTTCAGTAGCAAGCCACGCCCTCCGTGAGTAAGCTCCGCCCTCAGCCCAACTTGCCGGATTTCCGGACATAAACATTGTTAACGTGCCAAAAAATGATGCGTACAAAAATCTAAATTGTCCAGGCAACTTGACCCAACCCGAAAAATTCAGGACGATACAATTTTCTATCACTTCATACAGTTATTAATCAAGGGCTGCCCCACCTGGCTTAACGTTTTATAAAAAGAATTCCGCATCTTTTCTAAAATAATTTAGCGGAAAAAGACACCATCTTTGGCAGTGGAACCGGAGTTTGATTAGACAGTATTTTTTAAGATTCATGATTAATACCTTGGTAATAGCCTCAAGTGCAGCCTTGGCGCGTTTCGGGTCCCTGGTCTTGCGGATGTGCTCGAGCTTGGCGATCTGCGACTCACGCACTTTCTTGTTGTCGACGACAAGCACATCAACTTTGGACTCCTGAAAAAAGCGCACTTGTTCGCACTGCTCTCAACAACTGTGCAAATGCACATTTCGATATTTCAAAACTGCTTGACGTGCGACGTGCAAACGAGCGAAGTGCTGTCGCCGTGTCACGTCCGAACAGCGTCGAGATTACGACGGTTCGGCGCTGTTCGAGCGTCTGGCACGTCCGACGATGAAGTTGAAAACCAAACTCTCACCTTGTCGGGTCGATATTTGTTCACACCGACGATGACGTCCTTGCCGGCATCGATACGGGCCTGCTTCTTCGCTGCAGCCTCTTCGATGCGAAGCTTTGTCATGCCAGATGCGACAGCCTTTGCCATGCCGCCAAGCTCGTCGATTTCTTCGATGACCTGAATGGAGATAATGCAGAGGAAAAAATGAGAAAAATATTTCTAGTCAATTAAGACATCCCAGATTCGAAAAAAACAGGCACTGCGTATAACAATGCAGCTTAATAAAATAGCAAAGAGTTCTTTTTTCGTCGGTTACGGTAGATATACGGTATTACCTGAATCTTTTCAAAAAGCCCCTATTTGACCTACCAATATAGTACCGACGGATACGAAAACAATTCTTGCATGAGCATGTAAACTCTTACATGAAAGCTTTGCGCGCAAGATTAAGGAATACGGTAGGTGCCCGTAAAGATTTCAGATTTTGCTCCAGAGAATCCGCTAAGCGAGGTTACAGCGAGTTCTGGGTTTCTACACCAGGTATGGCAAACTACGAAGCTTTGTATATAGAAGTCTCTTGACTAGCATTTTTCAAATCCAATTATTATTTTAAGGTGTGGAAAAGTGAATTTTCGACGATAACCCAAACAAGACAGTGACTTACCCGCACTTCCACTTTTCAGATCTTTCAGACTTTAACGCCAATTTGCTATTTGGATCATTCTAGACATGTCTTCCACTTGCCCTCCATGAAATCACAAAAGCTGCATACCTTTCTCGCTTTCTCGTAGATTTCGTCCGTCAACGATTCCATCATGTACGAACCACCCCATGGATCAGCAACCTGTAAATCACTTCTCTTGTTGGGGACTCTGTTGTTTAAGATGTGAAGTTACTCACTTTGCAGATACCGCTTTCTTCCTGAATGATAATCTGGGTATTTCTAGCAATACGGGCAGAGAATTTCGTTGGTAGACCAAGAGCTTCATCGAACGAGTTGGTATGAAGCGATTGAGTTCCACCAAACACTGATGCCATAGCTTCGATTGTAGTTCGAATGATGTTGTTGTAAGGATCCTGGAAATCAGAAGAATTTGAAGGGGGTATTCCGCACTTATATAAAAGAAAATTAGAAGGCCTCATTTGAGCCATTGCCCAAACAGCAGCTCATATCATTCACTGGTTTTCGAGAAATTCAATTCCACACTCTAGCCCAGACCGTACTCTTGCACCGTACCCAAGGACGCTGACTGATCCGCATAGAACAATTACGGTCTGGGCTAGATTTCGGACTTGAATTTTGAAAAAGTTAGAATGTATATAAGATGAAATTCGTGCATTAGACTACTCTTACTCCAGGTACTCAGGAGTGCCTGAAATGCCTTGAAAATATTTACCTGTTCGGTTAGGGACCATCCGCTGGTCTGTGAGTGAGTACGGAGCATAAGTGACTTGGGGTTCTTTGGATTAAAGCGTTCCTTCAGAAGTTCAGCCCATAGACGTCGAGCAGCCCTCATCTTTGCGATCTCCTGAAAATGTTATGATGACGTTACGGTAGGTTTACGGTAAGTATTTGATATGAGGTGAAACACAAATCCGTACAATTTTTCGCTTCCTTCTCCTTTTTCTACCCCTTCTTTTATTGGTTCAGCAGAGACTAGAATTTACCTTTTACCAATGGTAAACCACTTACCATGTAGAAGTTCATGCTGATACCCCAGAAGAAGCTGAGTCGAGGTGCGAATTGGTCAATGGTCAATCCTGCATCGATACCGGTCTGACAATACTGAATACCGTCAGCAATGGTGAAAGCCATTTCCAAAACTGCATCGGCTCCAGCTTCCTGGAATTTTGGAGATTTTGATAAAGACAGAGTCCAAGAAAGCGATAAATTGTCAAAATTGCTCGCCTGCATGTGGTATCCGGAAATCGAGATGCTGTTCCATTTTGGCATTTCTTTGCTGGCATAGGCGAAAATATCACCTGAACAAGAACTACTTCATCCCCGAAAACTCTTTCTAAAAATTTAACCTACCAATAATACGCATCGAAGGCTCTGGTGGATAGATATAGGTGTTTCGGACCATGAACTCTTTCAGAATGTCGTTTTGGATGGTTCCAGCCAGATTTTTGCGATCAACACCCTGTCGCATGGTTTTTTGGAAACGACAATTCTCAGAAAACGGGAGAGACTTACAGCTTCTTCAGCAGCGACGATGTACATGGCCATAACGGGGATAACAGCTCCATTCATAGTCATCGAAACGCTCATTTTTGACAGGTCAATGCCATCGAAAAGCTGGAAATCATAAATTAAAGCGTTAAGTTCAAAATGTAAAATTACCTTAATCTCTTATAAACCAACCGATCCAGAGGCCGCAAGTAAGCAATAGCCCAAACGGCAGCTCACTTGGTCCATTTGTGGCCGAAATATTCAACCCTAATCTCAGACCCAAACCGCATTTCAAGTCGATACATAGTACGGTATGGGCGAGACTTCGGAATTGCATTTCCCAGCCAGGAATGAATTACGTGAGCCGCCACTTACATAGTGGCTTTTATGGACTTCCGATCTATTTTCAATAAGAAATTCAGGTACCTCTACCGACCTTGATGGTAACTACTACGAAAAATTTCCTTTACCTGTTTCATGTCTTCTACGGAATCTACAGCTACACCAGCCATACCGACATCACCGTACACACGCGGATTGTCGGAGTCATAGCTAAACACCTTATATATTGCTTCAAAATTTCAAAATTTGAACGTGGCTTACCCTCTATGTGTTGCCAGATCGAAGGCAACAGAAAGTCCCTGTTGACCGGCTTTGATGTTTTCCTTGTAAAATGCGTTAGATTCCTCTACAGTCGAGAAACCGGCATACTGTCGAATCGTCCACGGTCGCTGTGTGTACATAGTCGGATACGGTCCACGGGTGAATGGGTATTTTCCGGGGAGCTAAAAAAAGTTTTTTCTGGACAAACTGCGAAAAATCATTCAATAGCTAGTAACCTCATCTGGCTTGCCCTGATCGCATTTTCGATCCTCCTTCAGGTACAACGGCTTGATGGGGATACCCTCAGGAGTGTGCCAGATCAGTGAATTAGGATCTTTGCCCTTCATGGCTTTCTTCGCCATTTCGCTCCATGTTGGGTCGATTGGAAGAGGTTGGTAGGCTGATCCAGTGGACGCAAGTCGGAGGGCCTTAACACAAAGCATTAGCTGAGGCGCACGCAATGATAAGCTAAGAGATGTTTCTCCAAAAAAGGTGTCAGCCAGCTTTTCAAGTTTACAGTCGAGTAGACTTTTCGAAATATAGTGCGCTTCCAGTGCCGAGAAAATGCGGCAAAATTTGGGCGAACAAATAGCCATGCCTGTGACGCCGGCCACTTGCGCGCGCAAAACGCCGGCATTACTGCTGTGATATTTGTTCACGCGCAAATTTTACCGCATTGTCTCGGCGCCGCAAACACACTATATTAGGCGGAAAATCTACTCGACTATACATTGTTTTGCTTCCAATACGGATTCGGACGATTTCTGCCATGGAAGAAGGAAGGCATAATAAGTTTAATGATTTTAAAAAATTTTTATCACTGCAAAAGACAAATTTCCTCGAATTTGCTCGCGAATTCGCTTTCAGACCAATCAAAAATTCTCATTAACTCAAACCAGATGTATACACGAAAAACAGCTTGATTCTTGTTGATACGGCTATATAATACCATATCAAAGATAAAACGTTGCAGTACTGAATTATTATATATAATGACTGAATGATTTGCAAGCAGGGATCACGACTTCTTCGAACATCTAAAATAATTATCATTTCGTCGTTAACCGATTTTTGAACTGTCATTGAAGATTAGCAAAATTGACAACACAATGCAACATTACTTGCATGATTCTCAATTGCGCAAAGTTCTTTAATGCTAAGCTTGCATGAAGCTTTTTTGATTCGAGTATAAAGAAAGCATCGTTATAATTTTTTCCAACGATTACGTAGTAAATTTAAATATGATGATTATCGAAATTTTTGGAGAGAATGATAGTTTTTTCAAGGAGGGCGTGCAGGAGTTCCTAGCACCTTTTCTCGCACCAACTTCGCACCAGCATTCGCACCCAGGAGGGTTCTAGCACCTCCGCGCTTCAGAGGTCAGGTCACACCCATTGCTCCACCCATTTACTGGTCTCATTGTGAGGTGTGCAAGCAGCGAGAGCACAGACTCAGTATTGAAGTAATAAGGGAAGAAAAATGGAGGAAAAACGAAGAACATAGTCATCATTTCTCAAGTGAAACTTCTGCCACACCACATTTCAAAATGAGCATGTGAACATTATTTTCAGAAGATAAATTGCACAGAATTTCTTGCATGAAACCCGGTCATTCGAAATATCATGGAATCTGGTTGATCAGTTGTAAATTCCTGGTCATTTGATTGAAGTTATTTAGCATCAGCAGTTGAATAACTGAGTGAACAGGAGTAGTGTACCCTATTACCTAAAGATATATCTATTTTGAAAGGAGTATATAAAAGTTTTCTTTAGTATAGTATATAGAAGTATATAGAAGTTTTCTTTTTCCTTTAGTTTTAATTCTTAGATGATTTAGAACTTTAATTGACTAACTTCTCTGTTATATACAGTGATTGGAAGAATCATAACTTCTGCTTGATTTATATTAATACGATATGTTTCACAAATTTACTCTAGCGCGAGCACCTACAAAATTTCAAGGAAGCGTCATTTTATCCGAAAACGTGAGTAAAAGTTAACTCGAAATGCTGAAAATTCAGCTGTAGTCATGTACGAATCCTAAATCCTTAGCCTGAAGAGTTTTTTTGTTTCTTGATTCCAGTGCTATCATTTTCAAAAGCAATACACGTCTTATAGTGCATGTACACATTCATAATGAGCCAGCTAGAGGGAGTGATGGGCGGAGCCGCCCTTTGCCCCCGAGGTGTGATGTCCTCTAAGGGATTTCTGGAGGTGTCAAGTACCCCTGCGAGAAAAAGCGGCTAGGCTTTGGGAACTCCTGCCACGCCGCCTTTTTTCAAAGGGTTTATAATGTAGTTATAATCATATCTCCGGTGAAGCCGTGCAAAGCACCGCCTTTATTTCTTTATTTCATTTAGGGGAATCGAAAGTTGCTCAATATCGATTTTCAACTAACTGCCGATACTAGTTTGGACATCCACCTTTTATGAATTTTGTATCTTTTTCCCAAGCAAGCCATGAAGGGAGTCTTCGTGAGAACGTTACAAAAACCTGTGTGCTGATTTTTTTACACACTTCTTAATTTCATTTTCTAGCAAACCCGTTCACACTTTTTCGATATTTTCCGTTTAACTCGATTCAAGCAGAAGCAAGTGCACTATTTTAACAGCTGCGCTCAAGCGCTGTTTGTCACCAATTGCTTGTGCGAAATTCGATAATAACATAACATTGACGTAGAGATAGATTTTCAAAAGATTCTAGAACAAGGTACTTACACCAAGTGATCGAGCGGTTACATTTCGAAGCAGGTGAAGCGACATTTTGTGGAAGAAGTCGATCGGCGTGGGTTAGTTGTGTTACCGGCTGCAAATTCTATAATTTAAAGGGGAAATTTGAAGTCGAAAATTACTCAAGAAAAATTTCGTTGAACACAATGAAGAGAAGAATTGTTGTAACTGTCGAAAAAATTACTGTTTCAAAAAAACTGATTTCAGAAAAGCTGCAAGAAGAACAGACAAAGAAATTATGATGAATGGTCCACAGGAGTTTGAAAATAGGCATTGATGGAAAAATTAACAACCACCCGGAATATTGATCCCAAAGAATCTAGATTGTAGAGAAGCTGCAGAATAGTGGAAGTTTCACGCTAAGAATTTGTGAAAAAATTCATTGCAAGTTGTCAAGGAAAAACACCAAAAATAATAACGATGATCAGTGAAAACTGAAATCTTGATAGTCGAAGAAACGGACAAAAATACGATAAGCAAAGAAGTGCAAAAAGCAAAAGGAAATTCATCAATAAGGAAAAAGTAGCAAAAAAAACGTTGGGAGCACAGCGAAAAAAAGTTTGACCTTTAATGATTTTTGTGTCCTATTTGATCTAAATTCTTCAATCCTAAAGCTCTGACAAAATTTTCGGAAATTAACTTTTTTGCTTTTTAGCCTTTTCCAAGAACCAGAATACAAAAGTGCAAATGATTGATTGTGCTTTGATCAAAAATTCAATTTTTGAGAACATTTCCCTAAATGATAAATCCGGTCTTTATGATCGATAGTAGTGTAACAATCAACGTTTATCATTTGCGGCGGTCATAAACAACACATGATAGAGTTTATATTATATTGATTTTGACTGATTATGATATATTTGTATGCCACGCATGGCTTAAAAAAACAATCTGGTTTCCATTTACTCTCTCAGAAGGCCTCGTCCCATTATCGTTTTGAAAAAAATTGTAAAAAAAACATAAGGATGTAGAAAGGAGCTTCATGATTACCAGTCGTCAAAACAGCATTCCTCTGGGATGCTCAAATCTAATTTTTGGCAGAAAATCCTTTCACAAAAAGTTTTCAAAAATTTGGATAAAAAAGTCAGTGAACTGCATTAGGAAATTTTTTCGCAGGATGCACGCCATTAGCAACATGTGTACTTTCATTTTTTGCCCAAATTATGGGTCGAAAAGATTTGAATAATCAGGAATAATGTAAGCTCGAGTGAGTTTTTGGGAAGAAACCGCTCCAGCTCACATCAGTCACTAGCAGGCGATTCAGCTTGAACAATGTTTTCAATTTTGAGTGCATGGAGTTCATAAGTGCGATCAGAGAACAATCTTTATATACTGTAAGAAGGAAGAAAGCCGCAGCGACCAAGGGGTTTTTTCTTACTCATGCTAGCAAATGCGGGTAACTTGAAACCTTTTTGCAGACTCGAGTTTGCAACTTGATCGTGGTCAGCGGAATTTGCTTGAGTGATATTCAGAAAGACCACAAAACCTTAACCTTTCAAGAAATCAGAAAAAAAGCCCCGGACATCAATTTAGGTCATGCAAAATCATCAACTATACGCTCTAAGTTGTATTTTATTTCTTTACAAACTCAAATAAGAAGACTGGAGACATTGGACCATGCAAGTTCTGCTGTCCAGATTTTTATTCAAATAACAGTAGTTTCTTGACCCACGTACAATAGGCTATCTCCTTTCATAAGATCCAAATATTCAATGACTTCAGTATTGTATAGAATAAATAGATATTGTAAATATAATAGATAAGTACTCTGTAACTGAAAGAAAACGCGACATAAGTAGTAATATTTTGCCTTTCAGTCGTTTCATACTGAACCAACATTCTTCTAGGTCCTCCTCCGTCGCCATGAATTTCCAAGAAGAAGCACAGTTTTGATATATTCTAGGAGAAGGAAATGAAACAATGTTAGAGATACTGAGTAAACGCTCCATTTCAGTTATCAGATCAAATTCAGAAGTATCCAAGCACTGTGACAATTTTCCACGAAAAGTATCTGGCAGATAAGTCTTTGGAAATCTTCTTGCAAGAGGGGCTTGTAGTTAGAAACAAGGGACATTGATCGCCTGCCACCGTGGCGATTATTCTCTTACCGTATACTATTTCATTTCTTTTGATATGGATCGATTGTTGCTACGTGCAAAGAGCAGAAAGCAGAACTTCTGCTGTCAAAACAATGAAAACGCATCAGATGAAGTATTGGGGTCTTCATATACAAAGGAAAATGTGCTGACAAGGGAGAAAGGACAGTTCGAGAGAATTTCTTGTTTGAGGAGCGTAGAAGACTTGTTGGGATATAGGGAGGCGACAGTAGTCCACAAAACTCCATTGGCACCGCGGATAAATTCTGAACATTACGAGTTCATATAGCTGCACTATAAAGTGGGTAAATCAACAAAAAAATCTTTGCTAGAAATCATTCAAAAGGCCGATTGATATCTATTTCGCTCCTGATTCAAAGATTTCGACTTTCTATGTTCTTTTTAGAAGTCACTGACGAGGAAATAAAGGTTAGAATTGCTTAAGGCGTTCTATAGCCGATGGGGGCCACTTGCGAGGATATCCGCCATAAATCGTGCATTTCTGCATTTTTTACAACTCATACTAGTTACCACAAAAGTGGAGAATCACTGCTGGCTTCAGCTACCTTTCAGGATCCCTGTGGCAGAAAGAGCATCATTGAAGGTTAATCCGACAAATTCAATAAGAAATTGATGTAAATTTTTGTTGCTCGTAGTTGGGGTGTCATTACATTTAAGGAGATAAGATTCGTTTTGAAATACTCTAAGTAAAGTTTGGAGAAAGGCCAAGTCCAAGAAATTCTATCGAATGTCAAAGTCAACCCATAGAAGACTTGTTCGCTTACCGTATGCCCACTCAAACACCCATCGAGGTCTCTACCTCAGCGAATAAATGGAATTTTCATGTATCAGAAATTGCAGGGATCAAATTGGGAAAAGGAAATCACTTCAAGCTTTTCTTTGAAAAGTTCTGATTCTCAAGAAAAACTGCTAAAAATCCTAATACATTGATTTTTTTGACGTATTTTCTCGAAAATCATAACCCTTCAAGGAAAAGCTCGATCAACGTAAATTTTGATCAGCTAAAAACAGGAGATCAAAAAGCCATGACATATCATTAGAAAGCAATGATTTATACTTTCTAGAGGTAATTTTGTCGTGCAAGACTATCGTAACAGGAAGAAGTCACGATCTTTTGAAAATGGTGCGACAGAATTTGCGGTTCAACCTAATGAATAAATGAAACGAAAAATGGTAAAAGATAAGAAACTAGGAGTAATCAGATATACATTTGTGGTTTTCTATAGCATTTTCGCACATAATAATTTTATCGATTTATGAATAGATAGATTAATAAATTATTCAAAAATTAGGCATCTCCCCCCCCCCCCTCCCCGCACGAAGTTTCGGGAAAGTCTAAATTTCAACTCCTGCAGTAGGTACATTATAATAACGCCGAATTTTTGGACTAGCTCGGGGGGGGGGGACCCCCGCGTTCTTTTCGGCCCATCACTCTCAAAATCTGACGCATTACACCAAAAAGCAAGCCTAGTCCACAGCCGAGAAACGTTGATCGTTGACAGCGAAGACCCTAGCGATTGTAGAAACGGCCGCTGGTTGACGGTCGAGGACAGGAGAATAAATCGAATATGATGTACAAACGTTCGTTTTGTGAGAGCGGCTGTTGACGTGCGACAGTTGAACAATTCCATCACCACATCAACATCCCCCTGCCTACAGTAGGACGAGTTGTCTCCGCTCTTGCAGAACTATTTCCACCTGCACCTTGTCACCACACATCCTTCAACCAGCAATGATAGACAAGTTCTAGACAGCATCAAGTGCTTGGAATGAGATGGACAGAGAAAAATATGAAATTTTTCTGGTTCTTCTTGCCCCGAATTGCTAAGAATTTTTTTCCAAAAATCAAAAATTAGGATGGCGCGTGGGATAATCTGCGCATCTTTACCTTCAGCTCAACGCATTTTCTTTTTTCATGCTTATAATTAGAATGGAAAGCTCAATAGATTTTGCTTGCTAAAAATGGGGTCAGAAAATACGTTAAAAATATCATCACATGTTGCGAAAGTAATCGACTATTTCCATTTTTGTGCAACTCTATAAGCAAAACTGCACTTAACACTAGCTTAAGAGTAAAAATCAACAAGTAAAATATTTACAACCTTTGCTCACTTTTAAATTCTGAAATTCTCGTTTGATCCTACACTTTTCTAGAATGGAAGCTAGGTCAAAAAGATTTCGTAAAGAATGAAAACTGACAACCCTGGAAAAGCTAAAAAGCAGAAAAAGTACAATAGCATAAGCTTTCATTCCCTATGTCACATATGGTCGGAAAGGAGCAGTGCCTCTTTCACGAGCAGAACATTACAGAATTTCTTTGAGCAGTAATTTCACTTTACCCAACCTTCATTGTATTCTCTCCTATGGATCTGGGGATTATCAGTGCTATACATAATTTTTTTTCAAAAAATTTCAGGCCATATCAAAAGATAAAGATTGAGTCGATTTCCATGCTTTTAGCATGGTTTTAGCAAGATAGAGTTTCTCACAATAGCAGCTATGCACCAAATAGCAATAGATTTGCTCGCATAAAAGCTATTGATGTTTGTATGGAACACAATGGATCGTTCATACAAAAGAATGTTATGAGAGTACAAAAGAGTACAAGCAGGTTACGAAAAAGGCGAACAGTAAAAGATGAATAGATTAGAAAAAAATGATAATAAAAGTGATAAGGTTACCCTATTCTTTGCTTATCCTGCTAAATTTTCACCGTTTAGCTCAATAATCAGTAAGTTTCAAGAAATCCAAAAAAAAGAAACGAGCGGCAATTTTATCACGAAAGTGAAGCCCCTATTATATTTACAATTGGGATGTTATTTACGTTAGCGAGAAAAATCTTGAACTTTTTTCCATTTCGCGCCTACAACAGAAAGGAAGTGGCAAGTGGCAAACTCCGCCGCCTGAACTCTTGATTTTTGTTATCCGATATAAGCCACATAATATGTTGCATAAACAGT